AGCTTGAGTGGGCCTGAACGTTGGGTGGGGCGGGGCCTCAGGGAATCACCAGGACAAGGCAACCAGTTGAGCCAGATTGCTGGAGTCTCAGATATGGCGGCCATCTGCCACCCCAGGGAAGGGCTCACCAAAGGAACAAAGGCCTCTGACAGCACGTTTGTCCTGGAGAAAGCCCCCTCTCCAGCCCACACTCCAATGCCAAACAGCTCAGTTCTTCCCTGTATGTCTCTGGCGCCCCTTGAGCTGCCTCCATCCAAGCTTTTAGGGAGTGAGTTCGATAAGACCATGCGCGGGCCCTTTAAGAGGAGCTGCCTGGGGTTCCAGCCACCTCAGCCTCAGTTCCTGCTGGTTTTTCCTGCCAGAAGTGATGGGGATTCTCTTCCTGGCACTGGATCCCTGAGTGAGGCGCCTGGTGTGGGACGGGGACCCCTCAGTCCTCAGGGAGGACCTTTCCAGCCGAGGTATCCTAATTTGTATCAAGACCTGGGTGTGAGGCCAGCCTGTCTGCTTCTGCCCCTTCTACCAGTCTTGATGTGGCTGCTTCTTTAATTCTGTAGTTGTAGGACTTCCATTCAACTTGAGTTCAGGAGGTTTTGAATGATGGTCATTCTGTAGTTTAGTTATAACTCTGATGTGGTTGTAGGAGGATGCGATACTGCGTTTCTGTACGCCGCCATCTTGACTGGAAGTCCTGTCTTCCTGGTTTTTAATTGTTTTTTCTTTTTGGTTTTCTGATTGGGTGATTTTTCTACCCTGTCTTCTAATTTACTGATCTGGTCCTTGGCTTCCTCTACTTTGCTGGTTATTCCTTCCAATGTGTTCTTCATTTCTGCTATGTTATTCTTCATTTCCAGTGAGTTGGTTTTTCAATGTTTCTATATGTTTGCTCATGCTGTTGAGCTCTTTACTCATGCTGTTGACCTTCCCCATGATTATTACTTTGAACTCTCCCTCTGATATCTTGCTTAATTCTATGTCATTTACTTATTCTCCTGCAGAATTATCTTGTTCTTTCATTTGGGATTTGTTTCTTTGTTTCACTATTTTGACTGTCTCAGTGGATTTTGGAGCCTGCCAAATATTCCCTGTGAGTGTTGGTGTTCTGCTGGTTGTGGCTCCCTCTACTGGGTTTGGATGAGAGTGGGAGGACCCACATTAAACACCATTGTCAAGTCTTCACTTTCTTGGGTAGATTTGCAAGTCAAGGAAAGGTTCAGTTATTCCCTAGGTTTTTGCCTGCAGTCTATTAGTCTCAGTTACTTGATGAGCCTGGATTTGAAGCACTGCAGCTAAATAAAAAATCCTTCAGCTGTAATAGGATTTCCAGCAGGTGGGGCACTTGCTGGTTATCATAGTTTAGATGTTAATGATCCTTAATTTGCATTTCTTTGGCCTGGTCTGGTGGTGTTGAATTTGTAAGGGAGGGACCATTACTTCTTGCAGGAACTATCTGAGTAATATGATTACTGTCCTGTGAGGGAGTGATTCAGCACAAGACTCTGGGTGCCCTCCCATCCAGCTCTCTTCTGAGCCAGAAGCCTGGGACTCTCTCCATATAGTTCCAGTCCAGTTCGCCTTCTCTATGCCAGAGCCCAAGGTGAGTGGCTGTAGCTGATTTGGTGCTTTTTAAAACCTGTTTTCTCAGCAGGAAGCACACACCACTAATACATCCCTCACTGCTGTCTGTGGGCTCCCAGCCTGCCCCCCCCCCATGTGCCTCCGCAAGTTCCTACCAGGCTTGATTTGGCGTCCTCTCTGTCCGTGGTTGTACTGGCTCATTTCTAGCTGCTCTTCAGTTGGATTTTCCTAATGTTTTGTCTTTATTGTAGTTGTAATTCCAGTCTGGTCTTGGGAGACAGCCTGTGTAGCTTGCATTCACTCTGCCACCATCTCCTTTTTTTTTCCACTCTTCCTTCTTCCATTGACTCAGACAACTGAGTGTGTGCTGCATCATTTTCACCATTTCAATCAATTTTTTAATGAATGTATTTTTAAAAACCACGATAAGTGAAGCTGCAAAAGTCAAAGCACGAAGTGGCGAGGGACGACTGTACTATATAATTTTTTTATTTTATTTACTGTCTCTCTCCCCATCCTAGTATGTAAAGCTTGTGAGAACAGGGATTTTTGTCTGTATTCTTCATTGTGGTATTTTTACCACATAGAACACTGTCTTGACACATTGTTGGTTTTCAATAAAGATTTCCTGAAAGACTGACAGACTGATTGAATGAGTAAATGTAAGGCACAAAATGAAAGAGAAAGAACAATAAAAAAGAAGAAAGAAAAGAAAGGAACTGGACCAAAGCAGTGCAATAATTAATACAGTGTAGCCAGCATTATAAACAATTAATATGGTGTAGCCAGATCTGCTTGGCTTCAAAGCCCATAACCATCCTATTATAACATCAGTTAAGAAGCTTCTTGTTAAAAGCAATATCTTAAGAATTTAAATGAGCTTAATAAACAGTATCATAGAAAAAAAACATATAAGTAAAAGAGGCAAGCCAACTCTCTTTCCTGAAATATAATTAGAAAATAATTAAATCAAAACTATTTATTTAGAATTCAACTATAAATAATACATTTCTTTCAGAACTACAGAAGTATATATAATTCCTTCTTTCAATCAAGATGGAGTGACAAGAACTGAATTCACCTTCCTGGCTGAAACAACCCTCTTCTTCCAACAAACAAACAAACAAAGATATACAAGACATTGGTTTGTAAAACACTGAACATCAGGCAAAGAAGGAGAGTGATCCCTGGGTGACAGAAAATAAATGAGATGAAACCAGTGAATGCGTTTAGAAAGTGTGTAGACCACAACATAGTGAGGGAAACCCAGCAGTCCTTGAGTTAAAGACAGAGCTGAGAGTCTATAAAGAGCAAGGCGAATGGAGGCTACGAAACAGTACCAGAGAAGAGAGAGCTACACACAGAGAGAATATTCAAGATCTGCAGAGGGTCCCCCTGCAGCATTCAGGAGTGTACTGATTGGAAAGGGTATGCTACAAAATTACCCGAGGCCAAAGAAAGAGCCATTTGAGAGGATTAGTGAGAAGAGTGTTTGGTACTGGGAATAGTGCCTGTTCCTACTGGCCAGCCTAGAAAAAAACAAAACCCAGAATTTATGGGGCATTGGGGAGAGTACCCCAAAGTGGGAAATAATTAGACCTAGATTGAGCACTGCTTCAATCATAAAAGCAAGACCCAAATGAATCAAACTGTTTCTAAATAACTTAACTACATCCCAGAACAAAGATCAAGTTGAGTTATAGAAATACAAAAATAAGTAGCAACCAATAATGTAAAACCGAGAATGTCTGCCATCCAATGAAAGACTAGTAGGCATGTAAAAAGGCAGGAAAATATAACCAAAACTGAGAAGAAATATCAACCATTCAAATCTGATCCAGAGCTGACAGAGATGCCAGTATTAGGAGACACGAACATAAAAGGTATTAAAACTGTATTCCATATGTTCAAAAAGCTAACAAGACATAAATGTTAAAAAAAAAAAGGTTCTAGCCCTGACCAGTTTGGCTCAGCGGTTAGAGCATCGGCATGCGGGCCAGAGAGACCCAGGTTCAGTTCCCACTAGGGGCATGTGCCTCGGTTGCAGTTTGTCCCCGGCCCTGGTTGGGTCGTGCGGGTGGCAACCACTCAATGTGTCCCTTTCATGTTGATGTTTTTTTCTCTCTCTCTCCCCCTCCCACTCTATCTGAACAAAAAACGGAAAAATGTCCTCAGGTGAGGTTTATTTATTTATTTATTTATTTTATCCTCACCCGAGGATATTTTTCCATTTTTTGTACAGATAGAGTGGGAGGGAGAGAGAGGAAGGGAGAGAGAGAGAGAAACATCGACGTGAAAGGGACACATCGAGTGGCTGCCACCCGCACGACCAACCAGGGCCGGGGACAAACTGCAACCGAGGTACGTGCCCTTAGCGGGAACCGAACCCAGGTCTCTCTGGACCACAGGCCGACGCTCTAACCGCTGAGCCAAACCGGCCAGGGCCTCAGGTGAGGTTTAAAAAAAAAGGCTCTAGTCAAGTTTATAGAGCTGAAAATGACAATGTCTGAGATAAGAACTACACTGGATGAGATTAATGGCACATTAGACATTGTAGAACAAAAGATAAGTAAACTTAAAGACACAGAAATAGTAACTATCCAAAATGAAATACAGAAAGAAATAGAAATTTTTCAAAATGGAAAAGCACACCAGTGAGCTGTGGGACAATTTCAAGCAGCCGAATATATGTATAATCGGAATCTCAGAAGATGAGAGAGGGGTGAACCAGAAGAATTAGTTAAAAAAATAATGGCTGAAAAATTTCTGAATTTGATGGAAACTATACATTCACAAATCCAAAAAGTTCAATGAACATCAAACATACGAATTGTGAAGAAAACTACACAAAGGCACATCATAATCAAATTGTTGAAACCAATGGTATCAGAAATCTTAAAAGCAGCCAGAGAAAAAGGCACATTACATACAGAAGGATAAAGAAAAAGAATCTCTGATTCTCTAATCTCTTTAATATAGATGAGAAAATTAAGCAGTACCTGTAATATCATAAATATAAGAAAATAAATTATATTCCATATTTTTAGCTTATAGGATATATCACATTATATTCTAATGCTTAAAAATTTCTAATTCATGTTACCAACACTTAAACAGGCAGAAAAATAAAAAACATTCCATTTATGAAGATTAGTGACATTTTCAAATTTAATATGTATATATTATTAATCCTCACCTGAGGATATATTTTTATTGATTTGAAAGAGGGAGAAAAAGAGCCAGAGAGAGAGAGACACATTGATGTTACAGAGAAACACTGATCATTTGCCTTCTGTATGCTCCCCAACAGGGAACTGAACCCGCAATGTTTATTTTGGTGTTCGAGACGATGCTCCTTCTAACTCAGCCAGACGGCCAGGGCAACATTTTTAAATTTTAAAAAATTAAGGAAAAGTGCTTACCAAAAATTTCTCCATTTTTGGCATATTCTGTCACAAGGTACAACATGTTTTTGGTCTCCATTACCTATTGATAAATAATTCCATATTAGTCTGGCAGTAAAGAATTACAATTTACCACAACATTCTATATAGTTACTTATAAAAGTGTCAAAATTATGAATAATTCAGAAGCCGTCAAAGTTTACAAGACACAATATCCTTATCCTAGTACTTTGGTGAAAAATCTAGATCCTTGCTTTCCAAGTGTGGTCCATGGACCAGCAGCAGCAGTACTGCCCAGGTGTCTGTTAGAAATGTAGGATCTCAGGCCCCACACCTCAGACCTACAGGAAGTCCCCAGGTGATTATTATACACATTCAGATTTAAACAATGCTAATATAGATAACAGGAGTTTTGAAGATTAACTTTTTACCACCTCCTTCCTCACTGACTTTTCTAGCCTTGTGTTATAAGATAATAAAATACAGCTCAGTTTAGCTGTAGTCTAGCTAATCTGGCACAGTGTGATATTCCTTCTACTATACTTTAATATTGATGCATAGTATTATCATTTTAAAACATTGTTCAAAGCTTCTTCATAACTCTACTGCTTTATTTTATTTTATTTTATTTATTTTTAACCCTCACCCAATGATACTTTTCTATTTATCTTCAGATAGAATGGGAGGGAGGGGAAAGGAGAGAGAAACATTGATGTGAGAGGGACACATCAACTGGCTGCCTCCCACACGACCCCAACCAGGGTTGGGGACAAACCACAATCGGGGTACGTGCCCTTGACCAGAATTGAACTCGCGATTCTTTGGTCTTCGGGCTGACGCTGTAACCGCTGAGGCAAACCGGCAAGGGCAACCGTATATTTTTTAGATGAGCAAAACTCCCATGTCCTCATTAATGGTACCACCACCAAAATCTAGCAGGTTTAAGCATGGTATCACAAATGCACAACTATAAGCTTTTTAAATAAATAATTTACAGTCTGAGAGACAACTTAAAATTAAGCTACTAGGTTTTACTTTCCTAATTTTTTTATTTTTTATTCCTTACCTGAGGATATTTTTCTACTTATTATTAGACAGAGTGAGAGAGGAAGAGAGAGAGAGAGAGAAACATCGATGTGACAGAGCCTCATCAACTGGTTGCCCCCCGCACAACCTGACCAGGGCAGGGGACAAATCACAACCAAGGTATGTGCCCTTGACTGGAACCGAACCCATGCGGGCTGACGCTCTAACCACTGAGCCAAACGGGCCAGGGCACTTTTCTATTTTTTTATTTAAATATAGAAAGATGGCCCTGGCCGGTTTGGCTCAGCGGTTAGAGCGTTGGCCTGCGGTCTGGAGAGACCCGGGTTCGGTTCCCGCTAAGGGCATGTACCTCGGTTGCAGTTTGTCCCCGGCCCTGGTTGGTCGTGCGGGTGGCAGCCACTCGATGTGTCCCTTTCACATAGATGTTTCTCTCTCTCTCTCCCTCCTGCTCTATCTGAACAAAGAATGAAAAAGTGTCCTCGGGTGAGGTTAAAAAAAAAAGAAAGATGGTTGTACTCAGCTTAATTAAAATATGACATTATCCTTTTCTAAACATTAAAAAAACTAACATAAAAGAGAAAAATGATGATGCAAAATAGAGAACTGAACTGAGAAGCATGGAGAGTATAAGGCTAAATCATACCTGATAAAGTTTGATTATGTGAGGATGGTCTAACATTTTCATTATTTGTACTTCTCGGTAGATTTTCTCAAGGTTTACTGCATCCAGCTGAGATTTATCTATAATTTTTATCGCCACCTGCATCGCACACACAAATAAATACAATTAGTATATAATAGTTAACATTTTCCGGTCAGAATCTTTTTAATGAATGACACCTGAGAATTTGCCTGCAGGTTCCCATGACAACGATGATTGCTAGATTAAATTCAATGCTCATTTGTTCATTCAACAAATATTTCTTAAACATCTACCACATGTAGGACACTGTGGTAGATTTCGTTTAAGATTGTCTTCAGTGTGCTATGATGAATAACCCTGCAAAGTTACTTCAATAAAAGATATTTCTATTTCAATACAAATGTAATGTCCTTGTACATTTACAAATTAAAGAAATAAAATCTCAGCAGTTTCAACTAGTTAACATCCCATCGCAAAGTACTTATAAATAAATGATCAGCCAAGTAGAAGACAGTTTCTATTGTCTTGAAATACATTTTTTCTAGAAAAGCAAGTGATAGATTCCAAAGAATATAGACCTACCTTTCTGGTAAAAAGCTAAATATAAAGTATCAAATCCATCTCCATGAAAAGATACCCACTGGATTAAATTTTGTTCTCAAAATCAAAGTGCAAAAACTCAAATACTAGTAATTACACCAAATTTTGACTTCCATAACGCAATGTGATTTTTAAAAATGTGGCCTCTTTCTGTTATGACTAGATAGGAACCCAAAGCACTCCAAGGTTAATAATTTGAAGGAGCTGCATTTGAAGGTGAATAACTAGGTAATGAGAAATCAACAATCATGTACCTTTTTTTCATGCAACCAAAAAAGCTCAAAACCAAAACAGAACTTATATGCATATATGCACAACCAATGGACTCAGACATTAGACTGGGGAAAGCAGGAGGGGGGTGGGAGGGAGCAGGAAAGGGTCAATGGGGAAAAAAGGGAGACATCTGTAACACTTTCAACTATTTAAAAAATTAGTAGGTATTTGGTTTGGAAATAAGCCATTCTGATTTAAATAAAATTTTCAGATAATTAAACACTGCCCAAATTTAATTAATATATTAAGTTCTGAAGAAACTCTAAAATGTAGTTCCCATTCTATGTACCTATTCTGAACATAATTGTTTTGTGTTGTTGCAGGGAAATTTTTTTTTTTTTTTTGCTTTTTAAAAAAAATTTAATTAATTAATTTTTGTTACAGATGTTTCTCCTTTTCCCCCCACTGATTCCCTCCCGGCCCTGTCTGCAGCTTTGTTGTCCATGTCCATTGTTCATGCATACATGCATATAAGTTCTGTGGTTTATCTCTCCCCCACCAACCCCTCTTCTGGGGATTGTCAGTCTGTATCCCACTTCCACATCTCTGGGCTATCCCATTCTTCAGACTGTTATGTTCATTATATTCCACAAATAAGTAAGATCATATGATACTTGTCTTTCTCTGTTTGGCTTGTTTTGCTTAGGATAATACTTTCCAGGTCAGGGAAATTTTTAATATCAATTATGGTATGTGCTATAACAGTTCAAGACTCTTAAAAGGTATTCAAGAAAATAGAACTCAGGTTGTCAATTCCCTCAGACTTTCATTTATACAATTAGTTTTTTCTTCTTTCCTAATGGCTACTCTGTCCTTTACTGTAAGGTTTATTTCTAATTTGCTGTCACAGCTTCTTTTCTGATTTGAATTAATTGTAACTCACAGAAGAACTCAAGTTCCTAAGGGCAATCAGATTACTAAATATAATGCTTAAAATTAAAATTTTGCCCAACAAAGAGGTAGTTTCTTTGCTAGGCAGTAAAGTATATAGGTTTTTCAACAGCTATTTTGTTTGTTAGTATTTTGCTTCTGTAATCAGAATATTCTAGAAAGAAGTGCTAAACTTGGACTGCTAGAAAGGAGAATACAGTACAGTATTAACACTTACTTTTGGTAAAAGTTGACAGATAAAAGGATAACTGTATACTTGAATCTTTTCAATATTCCTTAGGAAGGTTGATTTCTACTGAGATTTAGAGAGTGGAAGGGAGGTAGGGAGGGGAAGGGGTAAAGAGAGAAAAACATGGATATCAGAGAGACACATCGATTGGCTGCCTCCCACAAGGGCCCGGACTGGGGCTGGGAACTGAACCTGCAACCTAGGTAGTGCCCTTGACTGGGAATCGAACCTGAGACCCTTTGGTCCAGGAGCCAAGGCTCTAACCACTGAACCACGGCGGCCAGGGCAACATGGGCACATTTTGAAGAAAATGTGTTGCCCTGCAATTTCTGGAGTATGTCTAGACATCAGTAACCCCACCCCAACAAAACGCTTTAGAAAACAAAATGGGTCACGACTATCTAATAAATAGAAAAAGAACTGGAGCGGAAAAAAAAGAATCATGGTTTTTAAGGAAGCTTTTTTTTTTTTTTATCCTCACCTGAGGACATTTTTTGATAGTGTGAGAGAGAGAGAGAAATATTGACCTGAAAGGGACACATGGAGTGGTTGCCACCCACACGACCCAACCAGGGCCGGGGACAGACAGCAACCGAGGTACGTACGTGCCCTTAGCAGGAACTGAACCCGGGTCTCTCCAGACCGCAGGCCGACGCTCTAACCGCTGAGCCAAACCGGCCAGGGCAAAATCATGGTTTTTAAAATTGCCACATTATTACTGTCATTAAGAAAAATTTTTATTATATATAATATATTGAGTATCATATTTAATGTTAAACAAAATGTCTGGATACAGGGGTCAATGGGAGATAAAGGGGAGCAGCTATAATACTTTTAACAATAAAGAAATTTTTTTTTTTTTTTGGTACGTGCCCCTAGCAGGAACTGAACCCGGGACTCTCTGGTCCACAGGCCGATGCTCCAATCGCTGAGCCAAACTGGCCAGGGCTAAATAAATTTTTTAAAAGTATGGATACTAAATATCAAGATATTAACAAGAGACATCTCCTCTTTTATACTCTTTTGGAACCTTGGCCTCAAACAATAAAAAAGTAAAAAATATATAAATTATCTAGTTAAACTTTAACAAGTTATAAACCTCATTTAACTTTTCTCAGCAAAAAAAAAGAAAAAAACAACCCAAAAACCTCTAAAGACAAAACATAATTCTCTCCTCAATTTTATCTTGCATTGCAGAATATGTATATATGGACCACAAGTCTATATATTGATATCTTTATATTACACCTTGTTTGTAAGGCTGCTATAAGATTAGAGAAAGGTAAAGCACTAAAGAAAAAACAGAGCATGTGTTAGCATGCTCCTTATTTATAACATAAGTAACACGTAGACCCCAAAAGTACTGATTCAAACACAGCTTATTTCTTATTGATGTAGCAAACTTGAATGGGTGAGAAGTTAGTAGGTAGGCCTCCTCCATGAAGGCATACAAGATTCAAGGAGGCCTACTACCTTTAATGGGTGGCTTCCATGGTTACCCTGAAGGTTGCCTTCATTCCAGACAAACAGAACAGAAAAACAAAAAACTGTTTACTCCATTAGTTAGAACCCAGTCACATGACCATGCCTAAATGCCTGTGGGGCCAAGAAACAGTCAGTCCAATTGTAGGTCCAGGAAGAAGAGGAAACAGTGGATTTTGGGTGATCAGCTAATAGTCTCTGGAATACTCTTCCAGGTAATTTCTTAACAAAAGGACTCTTTACCAAGTACTTTTCAGAAATATAATAATGATGGTGACGATGACCTTCACAATTGCATAGCAATATCTCATTTATTTCTCAATTTTGTATAGTAAATGGAACAAGCAGTACACTCATGAGTTGATGAAACCGAGTTTCAAAGACATTACATCATTTACAAAGGTCCTAAAGCTCAAGTGAATTAATGGGGAAAAACTGCAGGCCTTCTAACTACAAATTCAATTTTTTTCACTATTTCAAAGAGCTTATTATTCACACATTTACTGAGCACCTGTTGTGTGCCCAGAATTATGCCCGGATACAAAAATGGGATCTGGTTCCTACCCTCAAGGAACTTAATAAGTCTGTGAGAATAAACAGAACACATTTTGGAAACCAAATTTCATCAACAAAAGATCTGCATTTGGAGATTTCCCAACTTGCAAAATAATTGTATTCCAATAGTTCATTTTGAAGATAACTATGAATTTAGATTTCTGGGAACTTACTCTATTCATCTCTTCTCTACTTAGTGCCGAACATAGTACACTTAAGACAAAAACTGCATGGCAGTAACAAAGTCAAGCAAAGCACTCTGTAAACTGAAGGATCCCTTTTTTGTCATTGTTCATCTAAATTATTCAACTCTCTAATTCCCAATTATGTATGCATTATTTTAAAAATCACCTTCAGTGAATTTACTGGAGATAGAAAAATTAATATTCCATCTGTGAGGTGAGTTCAAAAGAAAAGTTTCCTATACAACTTTGGAGGGCCTACTGGATAAACTAGAATGATCAAACTAAATCCCATGTAAAGTAGCAACACTAAATACTGCAACCTCAGAAATAGAAAAATGTGAATTAAAAACCACAAAATACTTACTATGTCAATAATATATCAAAAGATACCATTTTCGCATATTGTATTTACAAAGATTAACACCCTTAAAAAGTAAACACCCTTGTGAGCTGAGGTTCAGTGAGATGGCCACTTTTGTATGTTGCTGATAGGAATATAAATAGGTTATAATTTTTCTGTTAGGTAATTTGACAATGTCAAGAACCTTAAAAATCATCCATCCCATTTAATTTAAGTAGTCTACTTCTGAGAAATTATTTGAAAGAAATAATCTGAAATGATAAACATTTATGTGTAAATATATTTAACAGTATTATTTATAACATTATAGAATATAAACAGTAATTGGGAAATAATTATATGAATTATATTAAGTTTATATTACAACTTTTAATATAACTATTAAAATGGTTCCTTTTAATAATACGGAGAAATGCTTAGACTAAAACATTAAATTAAAGATCAGACTATCAGTGCAGTCTCATCACAAGAAAAAAGATGAGGAAAAACTAGATAAAAATATAATGAAATGTTTTCAATGTGTGAAAAGATTTTTTGCATT